ATGTATACGCGATTCTAGACAATTTTTGTGTTTTAACTTTTTATTAAAAAGATCGATTAGAACTGATAATCGGATGATCTTGGTTATTGTAGTTTTGATTCATTTTAGCAATGAAAATTTTAGAGGCAGTTTTAACCCATGGAATGAGCTAATTTTTATTGATTTTTGCAAAAACTGAAGTAAAATATTATTTTGAACACTTTTCGTGTTTTGAAATTTTTCGAAAAAAAATCATCTTAAGGTAGTTTCTTTTCGTTTTTAGTTTCATATTTTTCGGTTGAATTTTGTCTAAGTTCTTCTATCAAGATTTCCTCTCAACCTGTTCAGTTTGTATAAATTCGTTCGCATGTTATTTTAGGAAATTTGATTCGGTACAATTTTTTTTTGAGTTTTTGTCAATTCGAATTATTTAAGAATTAAACGGTACATTTTTATACTTCTTCAGCAAGTTACTTGTGATTGAATTATATTAACTTTATTTTTTTTGCAGAATGGTGGGTCTTACTAACTTTTTATGCAGGGTTGACCGACCATATTTTTATTTTTATTTTGTTTATTTTATACTCAATTTATATTTAGTTGTGTACGGATAAGAAACTAAATGCCACCGTATTGCGGAAAACTACCTATTCGTCTCGGTGCAAGTGGAACTACTTGTCATGTCCCGTAACAATAATTAAATGTATTTTTGTTTGTGTCTGGTGGACATGTGGGTGACAAATCTTGTACGCATACTAGTATACTTGTATACTGACCCGTTTTGTCTTTTGGCAACTTGGGTGCGTTCTATTTGAGCGCGGTCGAGCTTCCTTTGCAGGATTAGTTGGGGCTACGATGGTGACGTGGAATAACTATAGTTTTTGAACATGTCGTTTGGACTTCTTTTGTTTTCTTGAGCTTAGGGTTGATATTAGTTTATGTATTTATTATTTTTTTTTATAACTTTAGTATTTGGATAATTTGGCATGGTTTGTAACCTTACATTATTTAAGTTATTTTGACTATTTATTGTTGCTTTAATCTTGAAGGTATTGGTTAGTTATGAAATTATGGTGGATGGTTTAGTTGGCGTTTAGTTTTTTTGTTTCAGCCCTAGGATTTGAATGATGAAATATTAACTGGGATTTAGTCTTAATTTAATATTTAATTGTCCAAATTTTGGGGCGTGACAAATTTTTTATTAAAAGCTGTAATGCTATTTATATGATTCTAAAAATTGAAAGATTTAACATCGTAATGGGACATATGAAAAAATACAGAAATGTATAATTATATTTTGATTTTTATATGAATATTTACTTCCTATTTGATGGGTTGCTTCAAAAAATTATCTTGATTATCACTTTCATTCATTGTTTGATTGTTCAAACTTTCTTTTAGGGTTTAGAATTTCAAAAAAAAAAAAATGATATTAATGATAATGGTGAGTTTTGATAGGGTGTATAGGAATCCCGATTTTTGCCCCGACCTTCTTTGCGTCCTGAACTTGGGTTTCGTGGCTGAATATCGTATCCTCCTCTTGTTATCCCCTTTTTAATTCTTTGAAATTGAGTTTTGGGTCGTGTTGGGTGAGTTTGTAACAGGTTGGTGATGAGTTGGTGCAAATGGTTATTGCTCAGGTTTTGACTCCTTCGCTCGAGCGAGCCTTGGGTATTTGCTTCTTCGGTCGAGCGAGTGTTCTTGTGCTCGAGTAAGGATTGAGGGTCCTCAGGTTTCTTTCCTAGACGGAGCTTTCGCTTGAGCGAGAACTTTTGCGCTCAAGCGAGACATGTGTTCTTTGTTGCTTCGCTCGAGCAAGAACTCTTGCACTCTAGCGTGCGTCTGCGTTTGTGGCAGACCTGAAGCTTTGCATTGTATGCTCGAGCGACGATTCTTGCGCTCGAGCGAGGTCACTTGTTGTGTCTGGTCACTCGAGCGACGACTCCTTGGCTTGAGCGAGCCTCGCATATATCAGTTCGCAGCAGCGTGATTTTATATCACGTTTTGATCTATTCTTCACTCAAAACCCTAATCCGGCTGCCTCTCTCTAAAACACCCACTCTCTCTACAAATACTCCATGATTTAGAGTCATTCTACCCTACTCCCTTTGTTAAAAGCTAGAGATTGGCGTGGGCTTCCTTTTGATCCGAAAAAGTTCAAGTTTGGAGCATCTTCAAGTTTCTCCTTCTTCCTCTTTGAGCTTCTCCATTTGAGGTAGGGATGTTCTACTCTTTATTATGAGTTTTAACCTAGATGTGTGTCATCTTTGCATAAATGGTGGAGTTGGGATGTTTTGGTGAAGTTAGGGTTTGGGTTTGAATTTGTGAAAAAGGGGTTTTTTTTTTATTTTTTTATTTTGGACTGCATATGTGTATGTGAGATCTTGAAAATGGGGTTGTTTGTGTATAATGGGTGAAATTTAGCTTTAGGTGCAATATTTAGGAAAGGGGGAAAAATGTCCTAGTTTGAATTAAATAAACTATTTTGTATAAATAATGAAATCGATGTGGTATTATGAAATTGGGGGAATATGTGATTAAATGGTGTAATTTTTGATAAATTATCTGTTGATATGATTTATTTATCTGTTTAGAAATATCTGTTTTGGGCTATAGGTGGAGGATAGCTGTGAATGTTGTAGAAAATGCATGAGGATTAGGAAAATTGAAACTGATCAATTGAATTATGTCATTGAATATGACGGTTTGAGTAAACCAATGAATATGTGAATTGATGAGTCATTATATATGACAACGTGTTTAAATACATTGCATATGTATCATTGAATGGGAGGAGATATGGGATGTACTCCATTATTTGGGAGGAGATAGGGGATGAACTCCATTGATAATTAAGTTGGCCGGAGTGTCCAGGGTGAAAGTCCCGAAATCTTATATATTTATGGGTGCCGGTTCCCTCAGACGTGGTTCTGTAAAATGGCAAGAAATAGAAGTGTTGGATTGATGAATGTATTGAATTGTGAACCATTGAGTTGTAGTCTCATTTTGGTTGTTTGATAATAATGAATTCGGTTAATTGATTTTATCCGAAATGGAAGAATGGAAATGAGTTGAGTTATTGGTTAATTATATTGAATGAATATGAAAAGAATATGTGTTGGTCAGGGATGTTGCACATTTATCAGATACACATGTTTTAGTTAATTCTCATATACTGTTTAGGCTTTGGCTCACCCTACTTGGGAAACCATTTTTCAGGTACATGTGACATGCCGCCTCCAAGAACTTAGCTTGGGAGGTTTAGGGGCTGAAGGCTCTGTTTTTGTTATCATTTTTGTTCTTAAATGTAAATTCAAGCCGAGGGCTTTATCTGTAAAAGAGTTACGACTCTACTTTTGTTGAAACCAAGTAACAACTTGGAAAGATGTAAGCCCGTAAGGCACTCGTTCTATTGTTAACATTAAGGAATTACATGTAATACCTGTTGTAATATAAATTATGATGAATGAAATATAACATTTCTATTATGTTTATGATTCTTGTGAATGGAAGACTTATATAATATTTTGGGGGCATTATAGGGTGGATTGGAGTTTTGGAGTGAGAAAGAAGAAGAAGAAGATAAAATAACTCTGATCTCTTAGAGAAGAAGATGTAGAGATTTGAATAGGAATAATAGATTATGGTGTACCATGAGAAAAAAAAAAATTATTTTAGGATTTAATATGTGTTGCCCTTATTGGTAAATTTACATTAGGATATAATAGGAATTAAAATTTATAAATTTAAATTGGATGTACTGAGATATTTTTTTGAGTTCAAATAGAATGCCCTCATTCACTATGTCCTCTCATATTCTTCAATCACTTAATACAAAATCATAATATCTTACTTTTTTTACTAATTATAATACCATAGAACACTACATAATTGTACTCTGAGGCCATGTTTGTTTGGGCGGACTAGATTAGCATTCTGATGACTAATAGTCCTAAGACTACGAGTCCGTTGGATTATGTATCCTATCTTAACTAATAGTTAAGTTTAAAATAATTAGTCCGTATTTCAATTGTTTAACCAAATATCGGATTAATAATTTTATTGGACTATTAATCCAATCCCAAGCTCATGTCCACCCAAACAAACATGGCCTGAAAGTATCTAATAATCAATCTTATGTAATCACATAATTGAAAAAAAAAAAGAAAAAGAAAAAGGACAAAGCATTGACAGAATTGGATAAATTTTGCAAAATAAGGATAGTATAAGAGTTGGTATTTTTTACCAGCTAGAAGTAAAGAAACCGAACGAACATAGGCCCCGTTTGTTTCCAGAGATAGAATGGAGGGGATTGATAGTGAGAGAGTTTTGGAAAAAGTGATTGATTTGATGTGTGTGAGAGATAGATTTGTTTGGAAAACTTGTTTGGTTTACAAGTTTTGAGAAATTTTTTTGGAAAAATTTGTTTGGTTTGATTACTTTTAAAAACTTATTTGTAGAGAAAATTTCCTAAAAATTTTTCAGAAATACAAACTAAACGAACCCATAATATCTTACTTTTTTTACTAATTATAATACCATAGAACACTACATAATTGTACTCTGAAAGTATCTAATAATCAATCTTATGTAATCACATAATTGAAAAAAAAAAAGAAAAAGAAAAAGAAAAAGGACAAAGCATTGACAGAATTGGATAAATTTTGCAAAATAAGGATAGTATAAGAGTTGGTATTTTTTACCAGCTAGAAGTAAAGAAACCGAACGAACTATGGCCCCGTTTGTTTCCAGAGATAGAATGGAGGGGATTGATAGTAAGGGGATTAGTAGTGAGGGGATTGATAGTGAGGGGATTAGTAGTGAGGAATTATTAAATTATTTTTATATAAAATAATAAAACAAATAAAAAATATAAAAAATTAAAAATTATATTTTAAAAAAAATTTCCCATATATAAAAAATAAAAAAAAATAAAAAAATTTCTAATCCCCTCACTATTTTTCTAATACTATCTCTACCTCCTCCTTACCAATTCCCTATCCAAGGCCATGTTTGTTTGGGTGTATATGATCTTGGGATTGGACTAATAGTCCAATAAAATTATTAATCCAATGTTTGGTTAAACAATTGAAGTATGGATTAATTATTTTAAACTTGACTATTAGTTAAGATAGGATACATAATCTAACGGATTGGTAGTCCTAGGATTATTAGTCATGTGAATGCTAATCCAATCCGCCCAAACAAACATGACGCAAGGGTATTAGTAATACCAAGGGACTAATAGTCCCAAAGCTTTCTCCCAAAACAAACAAAGGTATTACTAATATCTTGGTATTAGCAATCCCAATACTCTCTCTTTCACCCAAAACAAACGAGGCCTATAAGTTTGAGCAAACATATGAGGAGGAGCCCTCGAACATTGCGCCGACGACGCTGACTTTCCTTTCTGGGCGGATCGCTGGATGCAGGAGGATTCTCCACATCAGTCCCTGGGGCTGGTAGGTCTCTGATTGTTCTCGTTATAGTTATGGAATCTTCAATAACAATATTCATAAGATCAGAAAACAAAAAGTAAAAATGTAATTTTAATTTATGAGATGAGTATTGGTACTCAAATTTAAAAATTAAATTTACTTTTTAAATTTAACAATGTGACGAATATTAAATAATCTAACACAAATCTCTCTCGTATTTTTTTTCTAATCATTTACTAATCATTTTATTTAAATATATTTAATCTAAAAAATGAGTATGCAAAATATCATTATCCTTTATAAGATAAATACACAGATGAAACCATCTAGTTTTCAATGTGATTCCCAACTTTTTAGTTTTTCTTAGCCTTGACTTTCTTTGATTTTCAAACTAAAATATAGTTTTTGAATTTTTTTTTCTTATAATATTTTTTTATTTATATTTTAGTCAATATTATTTTAAAATTTTTTATTCAACTCCTTCGAAAATATTTTGTATTAATTTAAGGATGACTAATATTTCCCGATTTTTGGATCTATCTTTAATTTCATTAGTTTTTTTTTTTTTTTTGTCTTAGATGCTCCTAAAAAGTTAAATATTTGTTAAGAAATTTGAAAACAAATAAAAAAAAAGGCATATTTCCCCTTTTTCTTTTAGTGAACTTAAAAAAAATCATAAATATTTTATTTTTAGGTACAGTTAAACATTTAAAAAAAAAACTATTTGGAAACTTGGCTATTTTAGTTGGCTTTTTGACTATTTTATGAGATATGTTATGAGAATAGAGAGAGAGAGAGAGAGAGAGAGAGAGAGAGAGAGAGAGAATATAACTCTGTATATTTCAATGAATGAATATGCGTATAAGACTCTTTTACATAGGTGAAGGAGAAGCTAAGTATGGTAAAATACAATATGGAAAGAGAAGCTAAGTATGATAAAACACAATATGATAATATAGATATATATAGCTAACACCCCCCCTCTCTCAAGCTCAAGATGGTAATGCAGAGATTAACTTGAGCTTGGAAAGTAAGTCAGAAAAGCGTCCTGGAGGATGAGCCTTGGTGAAGATATTGACTGTCTGATCAGCAGAGGTAACAAAGATAAGACGAACAGTGCCACTAGTAACATGTTGCCGTATGAAGTGACAATCAATCTCAATATGCTTAGTGCGATCATGGAAGACGTCATTATGTACAATCTGAATAGCACTTTGATTGTCACAATAGAGGTTGGTGGCAGCAAGATGAGGAACTCCCATATCAGAAAGAAGCCAACGAAGCCACACAAAGTCTTGAGTAGTGTCAACAAGAGCATGATACTTAGCTTCAGTACTAGAATGAGTAACAAAAGTTTGCCTCTTGCTACGCCAGGCAATGGGAGACTCACCCAAGAAGAAGCAGAACCATGTAGTAGAATGACGGTCAGTAGGATCCCTTGCCCAATCTGCATCAGAAAAGGCGTATAGCTATAGAGAAGAGTGTGCTGAGTAGTGAAAATCATGAAACATAGTGCCTTTGAGATAGCACAAAATGCGAACCAAAGCATCATAATGTGGAAAATGAGAAGCAACCATGAATTGATTGACAATGTGAACAACATAGGCAATGCTTGGATGAGTAACCGTGAGATAGACAAGACTACCAACTAGCTAACGATGTAAAGTAACATCAGATAATAGGTGACCATCAAGAGGTGTGAGACGAGTCTGAGGATCTATTGGGGTATGCGTAGTCTTGTAATCGGTAAGACTAGCATGAGCTAAGAGATCATATGTATACTTGGCCTGGGTGAGAAAATAATTCGAAGGATCTTGAGAAATTTTCAAGCCGAGGAAGTAGCTAAGGAGACCCAAATCTTTCATCTCAAACTGACAACAGAGGAACTGTTTAAGGCTAAAGATATCCACTGTGTCATCCCTAGTGATGATCATATCATCCATATGTAAAAGAAGAAGAATAATATTACTCTCTGTCTTGCGCATAAACAGAGCAGAATCATGGACATTGGAGGAGAAGCCAAAGTCATGAATGGTAGAACTAAACTTGGCAAACCAAGCATGAGGAGATTGTTTCAAACTATACAAAGCACGACGAAGTTTGCAAACTTTGGTGGACGGAATTGAGGAACCAAAAGGAGGTTGCATATAAACTTTCTCAGTGAGATCACTATTGGCGAGCAAGACTCCAATGTCAAGGAAGCTATGAACTGAAGTAAGACGAGCAACAGGGGGCAAATGTTTCCTCATAATCAATCCCATATTCTTGAGTAAACCCCTGGGCAATAAGTCGAGCTTTGTAACGCTCAATGGAACCATCAGAATGAGGTTTGATCTTGTAAACCCATTTGCAACTACCAGCACTCTTTCTAGACGGAAGGTCAACTACATCCCAGGTATGAGTTTTATAAAAAACATGCAGTTCATCAGTTATAGCTTGCTGCCAAAAAGGGTTATAGCAAGCCTCTCGATAGGAAGTAGGTTCATGAGAAGAAAAAGCAGTAGAACCAACAATGAAATCATGAAGAAGTATAGAAGGTTGTGTTACCTGACTAGAATGACGAAGAGGTACCTCTGATGTAGAAGATGATATCGTAGAATCAAGGGATGCATGAGGCTCACTAAGAGAGGGAATAAAGATAGGACTAGGATGTGGAACAGGAACAGGAGCAAGAGTGGGAACAAGATCAGAAAAGTGGAGTAGCAGGACTAGGAGGCAGAGCAGAATCCTCAGGATGGGTTAAAGTCATCATGTCGGAAGTAGGGTCTGTATCAAACTTATTAAACAGAAGAGAAGGATCTGTAAAGAATGGTGTAGTAGGAAGAGTAGACAAATGAAATTTAGACACAAAAGAGAACATCTTGTGTTCCCAAAATACCACATGATAAGAGACACAGAGACAACAAGAAAGAGGATTCCAACAACGATAACCTTTATGTTTAATTCCATATCCCAATAAACAACAAAAATGGGCGCGGGGTTCTAATTTGGAATGCTCATGAGGTTGAAAAAGAACAAAACAAGCACATCCAAACACACGAAGACCAGTATAGGCAGGAAGTGTACCATATAGATACTCATATGGGGTTTGATTGTTGATGGTAAGGGAAGGGACACGATTGATAGTATAGATGACTATGAGAGCAGCTTTCCACCAAAAACTTTCAGGACAAGAAGAAAATATTAAAAAAACACGAATAGTGTCTAAGATATGTCAATTTTTGTGCTCAGTACGACTATTTTGTTAGGAGTTACCAGGACAAGAATAGTGAGAAAGTGTACCATTTTGATGAAAGAATCTCAAAAAAAGAGTTTCTTTTATATTTCTGGGCATTATCAGCACAAAAAATTTTGATGGTGCAAGAAAACTGAGTTTTGACCATTTGTAAAAAATCATAGTATAGTTGGTATAACTCAGAATGAGATTTCATAAGAAATAACTAGGTAACACGAGTGAAATCATTGACAAATATAACAAAGTATTTAGATCCCCCCCATAGTGGTATTAGGTGAAGGCCCCCAAACATTAGAGTGTATGGGATCAAAAGTGCATGAGATAGAGAGGTATTAGTATGAAATGGTAAAGTAGATTGTTTGGCAAGTTGACAAGATAGACAGTCTACTTTATCATTTGGAATAGGACCTAATTGACCACTCAAAACTAGAGATTGTAAATGACCATAAGACACATGATCTAATCGAGAATGCCATAAATCGAGAGGGGAACCAGTAGTAGCAGGAGCAGCAGTCTGGATAAGAGAAGTATTGGATAATGGAATATGCAGATGAATGAGCTCGTACAAACGACCATGTTTACGACCTATCCCAAGTATCTGTCCTATCTTCGGATTCTGCATAACACAACTAGTTGGAGAAAATAAAACAGTAAGGCTAAGATCACATAGTTGACCAATGGAGATAAGATTAAGTGTAAGGTTGCAGATTAGATAAGTGTGTGAGAGAGAGATATTTGAAGTGGAGATATAGCCTATATGACTAACATGCATTTGATAGCCATTAGCAGTGTGAATAACTGGTAAATTAGAAGAAGATGTAATGAAAGAAAAAAGTGTAGGGTCAGAGGTTATATGATTGCAACAAGCTGAATCAAAATACCAAGAAGAGGTACTTAGAGTGACTGAGAGAGCAGTAGAGGGTGTACCAGAGGTAGATGTAGAGGTAGAAGTAGAAAGAACCTTTTTCACAATGGCTTCAATATCATGAAGTGTGTAGGTTGGTGAAGGTGTAGAAGAGAGACCTGGAGAAAGTTGAGTATGTGGCTGGTGATGAGTAGTAGTCAAGGCAAAGTGAGTCGAAGTGTGATACCGACTATGAGTCATAGGTGGTTTAGAAAAACCATTGTGCTCAAGAGTTGTTTGAATGATCCATGGAGTGAGCACAATATGACTCACAAAGAGGGTCCGGTGGTGTCAGAGTAGAACTGGGTAAAACTTAGTGCACTAGTGAATCCGAAAGGTCAAAACTAATCAGGAATTGGGTCAAAACAATCAAAATAGGCCAAAACTGGATGAAAAATAGCCAAAATAAGAAACAATGCCAAATATAGGATATGGCTGAAGTCAGCAATGCGAGGTGCATGTTAGCAGAAAGGGCGCAGCTTATGTTAGCAATAGACGGACGCTGTGCGCAGGAGACAAGATGACGTTAGGCTTGATGGCAGTGGGCTCGGCTTCGCTTGGAGTGAAACGGCGACTGACGAAAGCGGTTGACTGAAGCAGTGGCTAAGGGCTGACATCAACACGGAGAGGCTGACGTCAACAAGGAGTTGAGGTGTGTGTGCAGGCACGTGTGAGAGTGGCAACGGAAGGATGTGACGCGCGGTGATGTAGGCGGCGTGTGAGGGTGTGTAACAAGTCTGTTGGAGATGATTTTGGTGGCGTGGGAATCGTCTGGAAATTCCAAGCAGGTTGATGGTAGTTTCAGAGAAAAATAGTGAGAAAAAAATAGTGACCTTGGGACCAGAAAAGATATTCTGTATTATGGTGATGAGCAAAGAAATTTTTTTTTTATAGCCTTGATACCATGTTATGAGAATAGAGAGAAACTAAGAGAGAGAGAGAGAGAGAGAGAGAGAGAGAGAATATAACTCTGTATATTTCAATGAATGAATATGAGTACAAGACTCTTTTATATAGGAGAAGAAGAAGCTAAGTATAGTAAAACATAATATAGAAGGAAAAGTTAAGTATGGTAAAACACAATATGATAATACACAATATGGTAATATAGATATATACGGCTAACAAAATGAAAAAGAGTTGTGTTTGGAATGGTTTGTAGTTTTTTTTTTTTTTGTAGTTGAATAGATAGTTGTAAGAGAAGAAGTGATTGATTGATTGATGGATAGATAAAATGTGACATTTTGTCTTATTGATTATTTTAATTTTTTTGTTTTTATTGATTATTTTAGCTAAAAAAGTCAAAAAAGCTGGTCTCTAAAAAATTCATCAAGAAAAATGATATACAAATCCACTTATAACACCCATTTTTTGGACCCAATAATATGCAAGAGAGATGATTGATTAATAATTAAAAATACACCCAATAATATGCAAGTGAGATGATTGATTAATAATTAAAAATATATGAGAAATAAAAAATCACAAATGAAAGTGATTAGTTAGTTGGTTGAGCTTGAAAAATAAGTCTAATTTTTTTTTGTTTAAATAACATTACTCTTTGATTAACGATCATAATTTTTTATATTTTTTCCGTTTCAAAATATTAGTCCCTTATTCTATTTTTTATTATTTCAATATATTAGTCCATTTTTAAAAATCAAAGACTAAAATAATATGAATTTCTTATTTTGTCATTTTTTTAAATTTATTAATAACGCAAAAAATACAATTATGACAATTGATATTTTCAAAAAAATATATTACTAAAGGATAATTTTTAAAAATTAATATTTTTAAAATGTAATAATTATATTATAAAAAAAGTTAAATTATCCGAAAGAGACAATCATTTTGAAACGGAGGGTACTTACTTTCGAGTATCAAGCTTTCTATGCTTTGCATATTTTCCTCTGTGTCATGCATCACCTCTCGCTTCTCAATTGGTATAACTTGCAAAACAGAAAGAAATAAATAGATGTTTATTACTCTGCTCCAGTGGCACTCATATTTACTATTTATATTATACGACAATGCTACGTAGTTCAAATTTTGTGGCTCAAAAGTGGCTCAAATGACCAAAACGACGTCGTTTTGAGTATAGAACAACATAAAAATGGCCAAAATGACGTCGTTTTGGCCATTTGAACCACTTTTGAGCCACAAAATTTGAGTTTAAGTTTTAAAATATTTATATCTCACCTTCTTTTTAATAAATTCTTTATAATTTATCATTATAAGTGTTTAATTTTATCAAAATATTATCTTATAATTGTTTATATCTCTCTCTTTTCTCTTTTATTTTTCTTCACATTTATCTTCTTCTTCTTCTTCTTTCTTTTTTAAAAAATTATGATTATCATCATATTTAGTAACTAAAATAGCAAATAAAAAAATCATCTATTGATTAAAACATATCTAATGTACATAATTTTGACATCACATTAATCTTTACCACCAAATCAAAAATAGATTTAATTAAGTTTTGTAATTGATATCACTAAAGATTAATAGTGCCCGCTATGAATCAAAATTCTAGTCCTGCCACTGCTAGACATCCAACTCCATCTTTCAGGGAAAATTACAGTATGGCTGTATTTGGTTGGACCATTTGATGAAGGAAATATAAAGGAAGAATGAATATAATAATTAAATTAGTGTATGCATTAAGAGTTGAGTTTTGGTTGGTCCAGATAAGCTTACAGCCATAAATGAATCGTTGTAGCCAAGTCCGGCGACTACTACTTGTAAACGCAGCGTGCTTGCTGGCTAGAATATGGATTGCGGAATTCCCTCGATTGTCAACCAAGTGTATGAAGCCCGGGAAGCGACCAATTATTTGGTATGCCAGATCTGACACACACACACAAAAACAAAAAAACACCATATATAATGATATATAATTGGGTAATGCTATATCTATATAAAATAAAAATCTGTACATCCAATTAATGTAAAAATTTGAATTTTATAACTCACGATGTCCGAGTGATCAGTTTACGCACAATTAAATTCAGAGTAGAGCTTCGTATTGACTGGCTCAATACATGAGTTAATAACACCTAAGAGGTTTTGAACCTGAGATCTAGAGAAAATCAAACTCTTAGATCCCAAGCCTACACCACTAGGCCAACTCTGAGGTTTTAATTTTATTTGGTGCAACTTATTGATATTCTAAAAACAAAAGTTACAATACCCCTCCCCAGCTTCATAAAAAAATAAAAATTTGTCAACCTATTTAAATTATTTATGCTTAAAAAGTTACAAGTAGAATTGCATCAAATGATCTCTAAATTAAAATAAATTATAAACAGATCATTTAAGCGATACCAAGCAATCTTAAGTTGACTTAATTAAAAATATCACTACGGCTATCATTCTGGTCAATAATGTAGCAATATTATATTTTTATATAGCAATATGTGGAAAAATTTACAACACAAAGTCAAATTTAGCTTTCAATACTACCAGTATTAAATTCATTAAAATGATATATTCACTAATAATTGAAAGAATCGTAGTGTAATAATCCATTAAATTTATTATTATTATTATTATAGATTTTATTTTTATGTTTATAATTTGTTGCATTCAAACAATAATTTAATGTTTAATATTCACTCATATCTGATCAACATTGTAAATGTATTAATTAGTATAACTATAAATTAACATAAATATATAATATGAGAAATGTCCCATTCCTCCAATGTCATCACCCCTAATTGCACATAATGAGGTGGACAAATAATACAAACCAATCAACTTTTTTTAAATTCTTGTCTCTCCCTTCAAAATTATTTGTCACCTCATTAGAGATGTAATTAATGGTGAAAAAAATAAAAGAATGGTAGAGGAGCAGATGGTAGAGGAGCTAGAAAGCAACGAGTTGTTCGTGCAGATGGTGGGGGAGCTAGAAAGCAACGAGTTGTTCGTGCAGATGGTAGAGGAGCCAGAAAGTAACAAGTTGTTCGCGGATGTCGGCAAGGTAGCCGAATAGAAGGCAGTGGAAGATCTAGTGGAGGTAAGGATAGACGAAAACATCCTAGAGAAGTTCTTTTTGCTTGGCTCGTCTTTGTCCAGCACTAAGAGAATAGAGATCAAGGAATTCTTGATCTTTAACATTGAAGTGTTTGCCTGGATGCCGTACGACATGCGTGGCATTGATCCAAACATCATCTGCTATCAACTTAATGTCAACCCAACCGCCAGATCAATTTATAGCGAACTCGTCGATCGGCACTTCACCACGCTGAGATAGTAGTTGAGGAAGTGGAAAACCAGCTCGAGGCAGGGGCAATCAGAGAGGTTCATTATCCCAAGTGGATCTCCAATACCGTTGTGGTACCAAAGAAGAACGACAAGTGGTGCGTTTGTGTGGACTATAAGACGGTCAACAAAGCATACCCAAAATATAGTTTTCCTTTACCATAGATAGACTAATTGGTGGACCTAACTGCAGGTCATAACTGACTTAGCTTCCTTGATGCATATCGTGAATACCATTAGATTGCTATGTATGAACTGGACTAGAAGGTTACATCCTTTACAATGCCTAGGGGGTTGTATTGCTATAAGGTCATGCCCTTTGGCCTAAATGATGCAGGGGCAATGTTTCAACGAATGGTCACCAAGATGTTCGAACCATTGTTAGGTAGAATAATGGAAGCTTACATTGACGACATGGTGGCCAAAAGTAAGAATGAAGCAGACCATCTCAGTGATCTAGCTGAGATATTTCAAATTTTAAAGACCCACAAGTTGTGACAGAACGCATCCAAATGCATGTTTAGCGTAGGGTTAGGCAAATTTCTTGGCTTTCTAGTAACCAACCGCAGTATAGAAGCCGATCCTTCTCAAAACAAGGCCATTCAAGAACTAAAAAGGACCAACACAGTTAAGGAACTACAGTACCTTATGAGCCTAGCCGCTGCTTGAACGCTTAAGGCCAAGTTTGAGAGGGATGACGAATGCGACTGAGCTCTGGAAAGCTTGAAAGAATACATGACCTCTCTGTTGCTGTTGGCAATACCAGTACCAGCAGAGGAACTTTTCCTACACTTGGCAATTTCCCAACATGCAGTTAGTGCAATGTTGGTATGCGTAGTGGGAATACAACACTTGCCTATCTTTTATGTAAGTAAGACATTGCTGGGTGTTAAAACGAGCTACTTGCCATTAGAGAAGCTGGCTTTAGCCTTGATGATAGCTTCAAGAAAATTATCGCACTACTTCCATGCTCACATCGTGATTGTTTCAACAACATTCCCCTTAAAGGCCTCGTTTGAAAGGGAAGACTTTTCTGGGCGAATATTGAAGTGGGTCATGGAGTTAGGACAGTTTGACATCAAGTTCCAGCCATGAACTGCGATAAAGGCTCAAGGTTTGGCAAACTTCGTGGCAGAGTTTGCATCGGGTAGTCATTATGTTTTCCCAGTTGACTTGACCGAGAAAACAGAGCAAAGGGGGAGAAATACAGTGGGACAGCAAATCGCCCAACTGCACAACGAACTATTTAGTGCCAATAGCCCAACATCAGGGGGAAAAGAGCATGCCGTATAATTACAAGCACAATCTGTAAGGATGCGCCTGAAAGTGAAATGCTAAGGCAGTCAGGCAATGAGGATCAAACCCTAATGATGGACAAAAGCCTAGAAAAAGCGTTGGCAGACCCCTCAAACCCCTCAACTTGTTGGAAGCTATTTGTAGGAAAGATGTGGAAGCATTTTGTGGATGAAGCATCCAACAGACACGGGACAGGAATTGGGATAGTCTTCATCTTGCCAGATGGCTTGACCATTGAATAGACAATCAACCTCAGACTACCAGCATCCAATAACGAGGTAGAGTACGAAGCATTATTAATTGGTTTGAAGTCAGCCTACCGAAGGAAGGCCACCGAGCTAATAGTGTACAACGACTCTCCGTTAGTAGTCAACTAGATATCCGGTGAGTACGAAGTGAAGGATGACAGAATGGCCAAGTATCAGGAGATGGTCAGGAATGAAATCATGAAATTTGAAGTCGTTAGAATAGAGTAAATCGGTCGAGAAGAGAATAGCAAGGCATATGAGCTGACTGGTTTTGCGTCGATGGCAGATATATCTATCCCGCACCCATTGCTAGTTGACTTCCTACCAAGATTGAGCATTGAGGAATCCGAAGCGGCCGAGGTATGCTGCGCCAAGCTAGGCCCCTTCTGGATGGACCCCATCGTTGCGTTCTAAAAAGATAGCATTCTGCCAGAAAACAAGAAGGAGGCTAACAAGATTAGGGCAAAGTCACAATGATTTTGGCTTTCCCCATCTCTAGCACTATATAAAAAGTCCTTCACAGGATCGTACTTAAAATGTGTCCATCCTAGCAAGGTCGAGGCATTCTTGTTTGAAATTCACGAGGGCATTTGTGGAAGTCACCAAAGATAGAGATCTTTGGCCTACCGAGCTATAACACAAGGGTATTGGTGGCCGTACATGCAAGTAGACGCAGAAAAGTATGTCAAGAAATGAGAAAAATGTCAGAAGTTCATGCATCAAATCCATCAACCAACCAGAGAGCTTCTACCTCTGACCAGCTCTTGGCCTTTTGCAATATGGGGCTTAGACATAGTGGGACCACTCCTAACCGCGCTGGGCAACTGAAAGTTCTTCATCGCAGCGATAGACTACTTCACAAAATGGGTGAAGGTAGAGGCAGAGACGCTTGCATCCATCAAAGAAAACGACATCAAAAAGTTTGTTAGGCAGAACATCATAACTTGGTTTGGAATCCCTAAGGCCTTGATATTTGACAATGACACCCAGTTTGACGGAAGAATCTTTAGGGGTTCATACGAAGAGCACAAGATCGAATTCTACAACTCCACACTAGTGTACCCTCAAGCCAACAGCCAGGCTAAAGCTTTCAACAAAGTAGTTTTAGATGGTCTGAAGAATAGGCTAGGAAAAGTGAAAGGAAAGTAGGCTGAGAAACTTCCCCACGTCTTATGGGTTTACCAAACTACACCTAAGCGGTCAACCGGCGAAAGGCCTTTCTCTTTGGCCTATGGCATGGAAGTAGTAATCCCCTTGGAAATCGGCCTCTCCACCATTAGATGCGAAAAGTTTGATCCGGATTTGAATGGAGAGGCATAGCCTTGGAGCTCGATCTAACCGAAGAAAGAAGAGAAAAGGCACTAGTCCACGTGGCCTCATATCAGCAAGAACTGTCTAGAAAACACAACAAGGCGGTGCATCCAAGGCAATTCAAGATTGGATATTGGGTGCTACGCAAAGTAATGGGAAATACTTTGGTACCTAAGGATGACAAATTGGGACCTAACTGGGAGGGGTCGTATAAAGTGATGGGATTAGTAGGAAAATGAGCTTACCACTTAGAAGATGTAGATGACCGAGCTATCCCAAGGCCATAGAACACAACCAATCTCGAGATATTCTATTTTTAGTTCTTTGCACTTGTAATTTTCTTTAACATTTAATAAAATAAGTAGTCATTTTTTTGGGTAAATTTTTCAATACTTATATTTATGTCAGTCTGTATGTAAATCTTTGCCCAACTGTGGGCAAAGAAGATTAGCAGGTTTGACCACCAATTTTTTTTGCACTCTTTGTCCGAGATGATTATCTCGGCCAATGAAGGTTGACAGGTTTGACCAATAATTTTTTTGCACTCTTTGTCCGTGGTGATTATCTCGGCCAATGAAGGTTGGTAGGTTTGACCAACAAAATTTTCGCACTCTTTGTCCGAGATGATTATCTCGGCCAATGAAGGTTGGCAGGTTTGACCAACACTATTTTTTGAACTCTTTAACCAAGATGTTCATCTCGGTCAAAGAAGGTTGGCATGTTTGACTAACACAAATTTTTTTGCACTCTTTGTCCGAGATGATTATTTTGACCAAAGAAGGTTGGCAGGTTTGACCAATACCATCTTTTGAACTCTTTGATTGAGATGTTCATCTCGGCCAAAGAAGGTTGGCAGGTTTGACCAAGACAACTTTTTTGAACTCTTCGACCAAGTTGGTTCTCTCGGCCAAAGAAGGTTGGTGGGTTTGACCAACAAAATTTTAAACTTTTTGGCCGAGATGGTTATCTTGGCCAAAGAAGGTTGGTAGGATCAGTTGGTTAGCCTAGTAGAACATACATTTAGAGTAGTGTAAAACATTTCAAAAGAAACACAATGAGCGTGCAGAAATTTGGAAATTTTTCATTAAACAAATAAGTGGTTACAAGGAGGGACATGTAGCCCAATTACATTGCAAAAGAAAGAAAAAGAAAACAACAAAAGCAAAAAAATAGATAAAGACAATGGCAACGTGACGCAAAAAGGTTGTCCAGCTCGGTCTCTGGATCAGCACCAACTTCACCTCTGGGCAGATTGGCTCCAGCATCGTTTTTACGTGGCAGATTGGTGATGCCCCATTCTATGATCAGAATTGGCTCAGTTGGGCTGGGCAATTCTGGCCGGGTTGGTAATGAACTTTGGCAAGCAAGGTCAGCAGCAGCTGGAGGAACATTGATTGGTGCCACACTATCCTCCTCTTCCACTTGCAAGAATTTTTGTTGCATAGCAATGGCGTACACCGCCATGTAGCTTGGAATGTAGTGAGGAGGCGGATTGAGGAAAATCTCAGAGCCAGGGGCCTGGCCGAGCTTCTCTGCCGCTGCCTTCTAGTCACATTTGAAGAAGATATTTTTGGCTGCCTCATATTGTTGGACGTAGGTCTACTCAACCTCAGTGTAACAATGGTCTTCAACATCCTCCATCGTCTTCTTATTTTGGCATCCTTTTTATTTTCCAACTAGGCTAGCTCGTGAAGGTAACGATCTTTCTTCTCAGCGAGGGCTTTTTGCTTAGCCTCCTTAGCGTTGTGGACTTGCTCGGCCAATTCTTTGTTTTCCACCCGCAGCTCGGCCAAGGTTCCCTTGAGCACCTTTAGCTCGGTATCCTTGGCCTCACCATCAGCAGTAACCACCCGAGCTATCTTCCTTAGCTCAAACACACGTTGGTGAACAACGTGGCTCTTCTGCATGGCCTGTATTTTGGCCAGTAAATGGCTTAATATGTCGAGAAAAAAGTTCAAGTGAAAGGAAAAAGAAATACAGAGCTCACAGCTTACTAGCACCAGGGACTTGGTAGCTGACCGAATAGCTTTTAGCTCGGTTAGTTGATTATGTCACTCTATGTTGGCGGAAAGACACAGGCTCTTGGACAGATTAAAGGCCAAAGTATGGTCCTTCTCAGTGCTCACGGAGTACGTGGTGGTCATAGCACGACCTTTGAAGGTTATAACTGGTGCCCACACCAGTGGGGAAGAAGGGCCAGCTTGGCTAGAGCAAACAGGTTGTGATTTGGACAGCTCGGCCTCAGGTAGTGCGGTCTCTTCCTTATCAACCAAGCGTTGTTATTCGGCGGACGAAGTGTGAGCATGCTTGCTGGGCCGAGATGAGGCTGCCCTGGTGGTTGGAAGGGTGACGGCGGTTTTGGGCGGTTGATTGGCTGGTCGTTACTCGATCTAGACATCGGTTGTAGACGTAGAAGTTTGTTCGGTGATTAGGGCACATACGACTCTCTTTTTTGCCATTTCTTGTTCCTCGGTTAATGAGATCAGGTCGATTTGAGGGAGGTTGAGATCTGGTTCGGAGGAGGATTCTAGGAGGAAATCAGTGACCTTGCTTTTTCTTCTACTGCTGTAACGATAGAAAGGTTCAACACCCAGTAGCTCAGTCCAGTCTCTATGCTTGTACCGTAGCGTGGCGCGTAGTGCGACTTGATTAGCGTAGGTGTAATTTGCCTTCAACTGATTTAGATCTGCAAAAAGCGAACAAAGGTTAGCAAGGTATGAAGCATCGAAACAGCAAAAGAGAGCTGATCTACTCTTACTAGGAAATCCCTTGTTCCAGTCAAGGTTGTAGCCCGGTATTCTGGCCTTTTAGTCTTCATAATTGCCAGAGACCCATAGAAAATCGTCGTCGTGCAAGTCTTTGTCCAGTGTGCGGTTGACTATTTTCTCTCGGCCTCTTCTGACCTTAAGGTAATGGCACCAACCATCGTCGTTCTGGTCAAGAAAGTATTGGTGGAATAGTTCGGCCAGACCTAGGTTCAAACCAAGGTGGCAGTTTAATTCGACTATATCGTTTATTATTCAGTAGGTGTTAGTGGAGACTTGGGTAGGGTAGAGTCTGGTTTGCCTAATGAATTCGTAGATAAAGGGTTGGACTGGGAACCAGAGTCCACCCTCTACGATAGATAGCACAGTGAAGGGGTAGGAACCGGGCTTGCCCCAAGGTATGGTGTCTAGCTCAACCAAGGTGAAGTGCACGTCGGCGGGTATATTGTAATCCCTTCAGAACTCGGCTATGGCACTAGGCGAACTCACCATGAAGCAATGTTTGCCCATGGTCTTTAGTACTAAGGCTTGCTCGGCAAAGTAGCTTGGCCTCGATTTGTTTGCTTGGATTGAGTAACACCGCCAAGTGATAAGGAAAATGAGTGCCTGGCCAATCTAGTCAAGTCTGCAAAGTGAGAAATTAAAGGTGTTATGCCTAAGTGTTGAGCTAAGGCATGTAAACTAAAAGTTTGCTCGGCTAAGATAGTGTGTACGGCTTTCTGTGTAGTTATGAGCTAGTCCTGTTGGTCCAGGCAAGGTGTTAGCTCGGCCAAGAATATGGGCAAGGTTTTAGCTTGGCTCTGATTAGGGGTAGGATCGTAGCTTGCTTGTGGTTATGACTAATGTTCCTAGCTCGGTTGGTTTCACTCTAAGTGATACCAACAAGTTTTTCCGTTCTGTCGTTGTGTGATTTTGGATCAAAATCACAATTTTGCTAGTTTTGACCCCAGTTATTCGGTGTTTATCTTACGAAAACCCAGGGGTTTTCCACAGGCTATGATTCAATCCCAATCTAATTTCAAACACATTTTAGTGGATTTCTGTGCTAGGAATACTTGATAGCTCGAGTATTTATGGAAAAATAGTGACGGACATGAAGAACTTACAAGTTTAGCCGTGACGTTGGAATTCCCGCCGATAGAGATGCCTCGTCGAGTGATTGCGAGTTCACAGGAGCAAAAATTAGCTTTGATCTGAGGCTATGGAGGAACAGTGGAAAGAAATGAGGCACGGGTTTTGGGGTTTGGTTGAAGCTAGTGAACAGTGAATGGGGCTGTTCGTATATATAGGCATTATATACATACGACTTGTAAAGGCAGGAATATTCAAATATTTGGGCAGTGTATGATGGTTGTAGCAGGGATGCGGGCATAATGGGGGCTTGCAACATGTCTCAGACGTGTCAGGTATGTCAGATGTGTTATACAATTGACAAGACTTCTGAAGACTGAGCAATTTGTGGAACGGAGCAAATGTTTTAGCTCGATTAATTTGGGCATTTATTGGCTCGGTTAAAGGTAAGTAATCCCAATTATGCGATGCAGATGGAATTAAGGGGTAAATGAGAGGGTAATTTGTGTAGACAAATAGGGCTAAGTTAGGTAAAATCCTCTTTGGAAGTTGGGCAGCGCAATGGGCTGAGATAAGAGCTTGTGTAGCTCGATCTTGGGTTAAGTATACACTATGCTGGTTAGAGATGTGTTGCTAGGGCCTAGACCTAGTTACCTGAAGGCAGTCCTTTAGCGGACTGAGGTGTTGTCAATAAAGGGGGCTGAGCTATGTGTAGCACGGCAGGGCGCCATCCTATAGTTAGGATTATCACTGCTTCGCCAAGAGGGCACCGAGCCGAGGTAGCTTGGTTGACCGCAAAGACAGCCAAGCAAGAGAGTTTGAACCATCTCACTTATTTGGTAGTGAGAAGGGTGTTCTAAGGATAAGCATTATCCTTGGGAGTGTGATTCTTAGGAGGGCTCTGCTAAGGAGAGTTGGAGTTCTACCAGGATTGTGTCAGGTGGAATCGATAAAGGCTCATGATAGAACCTATGGACAGGTATTGCAATTCTTACTCTCAAATACACAAAAATTTTGTGTCTATTGTCTATTTACTGACTTAGATATTGAAAGGGTTTTTGGCACACACCTGCCGGCTAGCTCACTTGTGTTTTCAGGTAGCAAAATGACGATGTTTGAAGGACTGTAAACTTGGTCAACAAGATTATACGAGACAGATTATTTCGTGCTCATATAATAGCAAACTCATATAACATATGGCAGTAATAGTAATAATAATAATAATAATAATAATAATAATAATAAGGGATAATGTTGTGGTACACACACTGCACAGATAATAAATTGCGTTTAAATTTGCATAAATAAATTGCGTTTAAATTTACGTAACAATTATTACATGACAAAAATAGATATTAATAAGTCAGGGGATATGTAGCATAGAATTTGGGAAAAAGTTATTAGGTACTCTTGGAGTACGGTGACGTGGTGCTGTAGGATATTATAATTGGTGAAAATGATGGAATTTATAATTTTGTGTTGGGTGATTAACGAATATAAGGAGAGATAAGAAATGATTATTAATGACGGAGTATGGATATGTGGTGCTCTGGAATATTTAATAATTTTCAGAATTTGGGTAATAAAAAGGACGCAATCTTTGAGTTTGAAGAAGTAAGAAAAATTACCAAAATATTCACCGTGGATGGCACAGTGAAGAACAGTTCTGCCGTCGCGGGACCTTCTGCCAGTTTCGTATATTTTCTTATAGCCGTCTTTGAGGGAGCAGCAGATGACGGAGAGAATAATGAAGCCTTTGATCTGACCATGTTGGGCTGCCATGAAAAGAGGAGTCTCATGATTGGCATTGCGTTCTTCAAGAAGATGGCGCTGCTTACGAGCAATTTCAAAGCACATTCGTTCGTTCCCCAACTTTGCTGCGTGATGAAGAGGAGTGTTCCTTTTGTTATCGACCAAGACGACATCATTACTCTGATTGTGAAGCAGCCCATCCACATTTTCCCATATGTTTGTGTTTACAGCCATATGTAAAGCTGTGTCCCCTAAAAGTGTGATCTTCACACCTTGAATTTCTTGCTCACGATGCTCACCATATATTTCCTTAGCCTTCTTCCAATCACCCTTCATCACACTTGTGCACAACTGCTGTTTAATATCCTCCATTGCAATTAAACTATTTGTTCCTCCAACACTCTCTTACTATAATGAACAATGCCCAGCTTGTGCATATATATATATATATAGCCAACGAAAGAACTCCGCTTCTTGAAATGTGTTCTCTCTCTCTCTCTCTCTCTCTCTCTCTCTCTCGTGTTTGTGTGAAACATAAGTACTATTATTCGTTCCTTCACCTACTTGCTGTCTTTTTCTTTTGGCTTTAACTAAAGAGGATTGCTTGTTCAAAAAAAGTTACTATATGAAGTCTTAAAAGTAAATATATCGTACGCATTTAATTACATTTTTTTTTTGATAAATATTACATGATAATTTTTTATTTTTTGAAGTGAAACTATAACAAAAGAAAAGGAAAGGAAAGGGGGCATAATTGTATGGTGTATACTGCTTTTTCCTACTAGCCAAAAGAAAAGAAAAGGAAAGGGGGAATTTGGAGGAGAAAAAAAAAAAAAATTTACAAACACATGAGATTGCAAGTGATTTTGTGGTGGAATGCAAGTGAAACGCTGTTTGCACCACTCCACGTTTGTGTATGTTTTTTTTTGTTACACTGATAAGTAATTCCCGCAAAGGAAAACATTTGTATAGACAAGGAAGGAAAAAGAGAAATTAACAGTTCAGTGTATATATATTTGCAAAAGAAAATTTAAATAAGTGAAAAACATAAATTTTAATAATCAAAATCATGTACTTTTTCATAAATTAGTAATGATTTTGAAGAAAAACCACTGATCAGAAAATTTCTAAGGAAAAAAACATATGCTACGCTAGATTTTTATTTATTTTTATTTTTTTAATATAAACTCCGGGTCTTCTTTATCTGCAAACACGTTAATCACACTAATACTAGCAGGCTTGGACTGCAATATAATCTCTTTAAATTAGTATTCGATATCAATCTAAAAATAAATAAAAAATTAGTACTCGATAAATGAATAAATTTTTTAAATAATAATAATAGATTTCAAATATTTCCTTTATATTTTATAGGTCACAAATATTTCATAAATTAATAATTAGCTAAAAAGTACATAATACATCTCATCTGCTATGATTCTTTTCTTGACACTTTTGAGATGGCAATCCATTTTTGTTATTGTTGAACTAAAGATACCATAAACAATAAGGTATTGTGTTGGGTTAAATAGTATTTGTTTTGATTCACTACATTATATGCATTTGTTTTAAATAAGTTGAATACATTAGATCTTTATATTAATTATAATTTAATGAACTCTTAATTTGTTACATATAGAGATATATCTTATATTACTTTGAATCTTAATTAAGAATATATTTATAACTTAATTAAGAATAAATATAATTTGAATATATTTATAATTAAGAATAAATATAATTTGAATATAATTTGAATCTTAATTAAGAATATAGTTATAACTTGGTCATTTGATGTGATAAATCAAATTCTTCAACCTTGATAAGTGAATAAATATAATATGTTTACTGTTAAGCCAACAAAACTAAGAATATATTTATAAACTAATAATTATTAATCTATCAACAAATTGATATCTCGCTAAATTAATAGAATTTTGGTGCTTCCAAGTCTGTTAATTTAAAGAGGTTATATTGTATATAGGGTTGTGTGCGGCACGGTGTTGACAATTTGAAAGTAAAATTATAAACCAAATGGCGGATTGACAAATAATTAAATTATGGTTTGAGCGGTTTGGGGTGTATTGAAGATATTCTTAACTAATAATCAAATATTTGCATAATATATAACACTAATTGATAGGATATCACACAACTCAGAGCAACCGAAGCAGATTCAACTGCAGTAACATCAGTCCACTACCAGCAGTGCCAGCTCATCCAGTGTAACAGAAAGTGTAACAGAATAATAACTGTATTAGTTAGTGGTTGTAACTAGCTGTAGTTAGAGTATGTTGAGTTTAGAATTAGTTAGAACTAGAGTTAGATTAGATGGTTATGAATGTATATAAATATCAATGTAATCTGTCATTGAAAGTATGGAATGAAAATATAATACAGGAAATTCATTTCATTTTCTGAAATTCATTATGGTATCAGAGCTGGCACTGCTGGTAGTGGACTGATGTTACTGCAGTTGAATCTGCTTCGGTTGCTCTGAGTTTTGTGATATCTTATCACTAATTTGTATAATATTTTTCATATATATAACACAAACTAATTTTACATAATATTATATATATATATATAACTACTAATTTGTAATAAATTTCATATTTTAAATATCTTTCACACTTATTTTTACTTTGATATTTCATTTGAGGTTATATATATATATATATATATATTAACCATAGCAGAGCAAAGTAGTTTTGAAAGCAGATTGGTGTGGATTGGTGCAGATCGGTGCAAATTTTAACAGATTGAACAGTATTTTGCACAACTCTAACTGTATATGGTCCTTCGAGTTTATTTATTTATTTTCACTGATTTATTAATTTATTTTTGTCTATGATGAAATTCTTTTTAAAAATAATTCAAAAAGTTTTAAAATTTTGAATTTTACTCGATGAGATCAACTATAAAAAAATAAATAAATAAAAAAAGTAAAAAAAAAAGAGTAAAAAATGATGGCAACTTTTATGGCTTTTTAATTTTTTTTTTAAAATTTTCAAATTCGTTTACATAAGAAAGACTGAAAAAATTAAAAAAAAATATTAACATAATTTAAAAAAATACTAAAAATAAAAATAAAAATGATTTTTTATTTATTTATTATTATATATAACATATTTAGATGTTACCAAACAAGTAATCACAAACACTGGCAGGTTGGGTAGTGCTCTTATTATCAATATTGATAAATAATCGTGTTTGGCAAGTTGTGATTATGATAAGTCTTTAAATAAATAAATAAATAAAATAAAATAAAATAAAATTACAATCTTGTTTCATTAGCAACTTGGTCCAGAGAAGAAATTACTAGTAGTAATAGCAGAAGATATTTGTGGACTCTTCGCTCAAATCATTTTTGTGCGACTCCATGTTCATGAAAATGAAATAAAAACTTTTACAACTCAAAACAATATTAATCTTGACATTCCCATACTGTCCTTACAGCGTGCATCGAAAATTTAGATAATTTGAATTTACTTTTTTTAATAATAAAAGACAAAAAAAAAAAAAAAACAATTAGAGAGATGAGAGGAGAGAAAATAGACCCGGGTAGAAGTTTGATCTAATAGAAATCACCCAAGACTCAACCCTAATCATAAGTAGAGAGGCCTTAGTAATATTTTAACCAAACTTGAGTCACTTAAAAGAAACAACATGGAAAAAGTCTAATAGGAAATCTTAAAGGACTAATAATTTTTTTAAAGTCGATAGAGATTTATTTATTTACTTATTTATTTATTTATTATTATCTAAAATTATCATAGTTTGGGATCGTGACACTTGTTATTGCTTTGTTCATCACAAATACACTTTGTCCACACCACCTTTATCAATCCAGAATTTATTCAAAAAATAAAATAAATTAATAGTTCAAATTCATTTTACTCATGAACTCCATAATTCATTAATTTAATTTTCATCACATAAATCCATTCGAAATAAATTATGAGTTTCTAAGAATGCATTCATAACATTTTTTCCCTGTGCATCTCGTACACACCGTGGGAGATGGGCCAAATTCAGCCAAAACCCACTGGGCTCAAACAAATCGTTGCTGAGTAAATTCAAATGGGTTGAAGAACATGGTGGGTGAAAAATACAGAGATGGTACATTGGGGCTGAGTATATAAGGGAAGTCGGCATGGCAATCCACTTTAAGTGGGCCCAAGCTATCCCTTTCTGGAGGTGTAGTAAGGGGATGAGCTTTAACATGGCAATGATCAAAGGCTAAGCTACATGAAAAATATCTATGGGAATGACTCTATAAAAGGAAGGTAATTGTGAATGAGAAGGTATGTTCTAATAACTTACTCTTTAAGAAATACAAGGTCTCCTTCCTCTCTTTGAAAATACTAACTTGCTCATCGAAGTGCTAATTTTGGCACCCCTAACTGGGGTACTTTCCTGTTTCAGGTATTGGAGTGAAGATCTTTCAAGAGCTCGTTTGGAGTGAAGGAGTATCGTAAAACCACCCCTTACAATTGGCGTTGTCTGTAGGAATACTCAAACTCATCCATAGAAAATCTAGTTCAAGATCTCCAATCATTGGAGTTGACAATGTCGCATTAGGAGCAACTTTTGGTCTGGAAGAAACCTCCACACGAAGGTCCTTAAACTTTGATCCCATAACCCCTTCTTTACCTTCAACATCTGCAGAAGATGCCATGCATTTTCCCCTTATCTCGTTTCATTGCCTTTCCTTTGGCAGAATAACTCCCCTCTACTTCGGCTCTTCCTCCCTCTCCGTCTCCCTCTTCCTCTCGATCCTCTCTCTTTCTCCTTTTTTTTTTCCCTCCCTTTACATTCATCGCATAAATTCCTTTGATCTTGTAGCATCAGAGTCAAATCTTAGCCTAGTTGTTAAGGCCAAAGTGTAGAGCACGGTGAGAGTTACATTTTAATTGGTGGAGATCAAAATCCAACGACATAAAAAAATTGGGCCTTTCTTTTTTTCTTTTTTTAAGGTTTGAGGTAGGGATTTTCTAAACCTTAAATATGTGTTTTAATTTTATTATGTGTTATTTTGATAATATAACACTTGAAGATGTTAGAGTTTTTATTAAAGATATATTTAATGTATGAAAAGGGAAAATTTCTCAAATATTTTTCAAAATTTTCAACTTGTTGAATGTGCTTGTTGTGGGACCGAAGAATTTGAAAAATTTATCTTCAAAATGAGAAATCTCCAAATTTTGATAAAACTCTAGGAACTTTAAATGTTGAAATCGAGATGTTTGGCTAAGCTTACGAGAAATTTATAAGACCATCTTCAACATTTACTATTTTTTTCATCAAATTTAAATTTGATGAAATAAGTCTAGGTTTGATGCTCTAACCATGTCATCAGACCCATATCAAATTAAGGATGTCTTTAGTTTTTCATCAAATTGAGGATGCCTTCAGTGTTGTAGGTACATCGGACCACATGCCGGTTGTCGGGCTTGTTGTCCTCCTAGACAACCTCTTCCTTGCAAAATTGT